TCTTGGCATTGACGATGGTGAGATCAATCTTTCGATGCGGTGCGTTGTCCGGGACACTATCAATTTCTGACGGTACACTATCGTGATAGATCTTTTCGGATTTGAATGCACCATGTGCGTTGTCGTCTAAAACGGATGTTTCGGAGGTGTGGATGAAGTTTGTCTCTTTCCCTTCTTTGGCGCGTGCTTTAACCCCGTGGATTATCGCTTCAATGGAGGGGAGATGATCTGCAGGTGCGGTATGGAATATTATATCGGCTTGTTGGGTGTGCTTTGCGATAAGGTCCTTGTCATTCAAATCGCCCATCACAGGTGTGGCACCTGAGGCTTGGATGCCATCTCCATGTTCTTTTCTGCGGACTAAGCCTGTAACATGGTACCCTTCGGAAAGCAACAAGTCAATTATATTCCAGCCGATGAAGCCTGGACCTACGATGAAGACTTTCTTCCCGATAGTCATAGCTTCAGATAATTCCGTGACTTAGTATATGCTTTTTTGTTTGCCTTGATACACGATGTCGTTGTTTATCGTGATGTCTTGGGAAGAAACAGAGAGACAACAGATGTGTATTTGTAAGTTCTGACGTCAAACACTTAAAGCCGAAAGCTTGAATGTGGGACTATTTGCTTCTCATTAGGTCAAGACGATCTAGGATAAGCATAAATCAATATGAGGAGAACAGAGGGCCATAGAATCGACAGACGTCGTCCTAATGGAGAGATGCCATTGAATTCCGAGCCTGGCTTACGAGCGTGGTACGGATCTCGCTTATCGAAAAGGGGGCGGGGCATCCAAGCTTCCACAACATGAGCTGGTAAGATATAATCAAATAACTCGGAAGTATTGATGATCCTTGCTCATTGGGTTATTTACACTGTTGAAACCACCCCCTTATGCCCATGAAAAACTTCCTCACAACTCAATAGCTTGGTAACTGAGTGATTTGTCAAAGGCGTGTGGTGTGTGGCTTATAAATCTTATCTCCGATCCCACATGTATCCGAATTTACCCCGCACACGTCATCTTTGATGGCACCATTTAGAGAAAATAAGTCTCGACGCTACTTCTGTATATAATCACGCCGGCCAGCCGGCAGGAAGGTAATTCAGTTCATATTCTTTATTGTGTTCAAGTATTATGCAACGTGTTGCTCGACAGCTTACAACCTCAAAGTCAATTATCAAGTTACCCCACTCCTCACAGCGATTCCTTCATTCACAAGCATCACATACAATGACTACAGCAACGTTCAAGTATATCGATCCCGCCTCCTACGAAGGGAAAGGCAAGCCATGGGGCAAGGTCGATGGCCCGGGGAAGTCCTATACACTCAAAGACTACCAAAAGGACGTGACCTCGCTCCGTGGCCACGAGTCCGAGTACTCAACAGACAATAACGGCTTCGCCGTCTACAATTCTCCTGCTACAGAGAAGGCTTTCAGAGACGAAACGGCAATTCGGAACAGCTACTATCCCGAAGTAGAAGCCATGCTCAAAGAGCGGCTTCCCGGAAAAGTCAAGAAAGTAGTCATTTTCGACCATACGATCCGTAGACGAGACAAGAACGCCCCAAGACAGCCAGTACAACAAGTGCACGTTGATCAAACACCCGGAGCTGCGGCGGCGAGAGTGCGAAGGCACTTACCTGCCGAGGAAGCAGAGGAGCTGTTGAAAGGACGATACTCGATTATAAATGTGTGGCGCCCAATTGAGAATCCAGCCTCCGATTTCCCCCTCGCTGTCATCGACTGGCGTTCCACTGTACCTTCGGACTTTATCGCTGTCGACTTATTGTACCCTGAACGAACGGACAATGACGACGATGATCGTGGGAAGGAGGTTTTGCCTGATGAGAAAACGCTGTGGAGTACAGAGGGATATGAGGCGAAGGGGGAGACATTTGCTGTTGCTCCGAGCGAGAGACACAAGTTCTTTTATCAAAAGGACATGACGCCGGAAGAGGTCATGTTGCTGAAGTGTTTTGATAGTGCGGGAGAGGGGGAGAGTCTTGGGATGAAGGGATTGGCGGTTAGGACGCCGCACACGGCGTTTGTGGACCCCAATACGCCCGAGAGTGCCCCGGGGAGGCAGAGCATCGAGGTTAGATGCCTTGTATTTTACGAGTAGTTGGGATTTTTAGAGTGGGGAGAAGTGTGCTTTAGCGTGCATAGTGAAGGTCGGATAGCAATGAAGTTCATGTCTGCAGCTCCATTTAAGTGCTCAATTTTCGTAAATGCTACAGTTCCCACTGTGAATTCCGAACACATTGAACCTTTGAAATATTGCAACAATCTAGAAAAAGTACTTAGGAAGCTATGTTCCGGCAGATTCGGACGAGAGAGAGAAGTTGATGAAACCAAATCAAGCCTAGCCCGCTTGGACCTCCTTCCCCTGAGACCCCTGTCTAGCAATCGATAAGGCTCCATCCACAAGCTGTGTGACGACATTTACGCTGGGCAAATCAATGCTCTGCAATTGCAAACCACCCCACTACAATCTGCGTATCATCATCGACCTGGTCAGCTCACCCCTCCTTTTGCCCAGTGACATCCACGTATGATTTGTGTTCCTCTGCAGTAACACTTCTCGTTTCGAAATCCGTTACAAGACCCGCCATCCCAATCCGTTTATGCCCTCCCCACGACTCTTCATCAACACCGGACGACACCTCTTCCGTCAAGCCTCACCCCGCAATCACCAATTTATACAAGCTTTTGCAACTACGTCACGAATCATGGCTCAAGAATACAAGCTCAAAGGCCTCAGCAGCCTCGATCTGAAGCTGGGGGAGAAGAGAGAGGTGGAGGTTAATGGTATTGAGGAGGGGAAGGTGCTTCTGTGCAATGTTGGAGGAAAGGTCACTGCTCTGGGCAGCAAGTGCACCCATTATGGAGCTCCTTTAGTGAAGGGTATTTTGACAGGTAAGTCCCCCCGATCGACGTGAGGGGTCAATTACTAATTCATATTCAGCCGACGGGAGAATCACTTGTAAGTCACCAAAGCTTCTAACTGTCCTTGGGCCATGATCAAATGCTGATTGCTCCCCACTCAGGCCCCTGGCACGGTGCCTGCTTCAATGCAAAGAACGGAGATATCGAAAACGCCCCTGCTATCGACTCAATCCCCTCCTTCCAATTATCCGAAAAGAACGGCGCAGTCTATATCACAGGCGAGCAACAAAGCATCAAGGGTAGCCGGAGGAAGCCAAATATTAAGATCTCTGGCATCAGTGGGCCAGAGAAGGTAGTCATTGTCGGAGGCGGCAGCGGAGCATTGGGCACACTGGAGGCTCTCCGAGAAAACGGATACAAGGGCTCAATCACTTTGATCAGCAGTGAGGGATACAACCCAATTGATCGAACCAAGCTATCGAAAGCCCTTATCGATGATGCATCGAAAATCGCTCTCAGAGATGATGCTTGGTTTAAGGAAGGGAATGTTGATTTTGTATCTGACGAAGTTACGGGTGTTGACTTTTCTGGCAAGAAGGTTTCCACAAAGGCTGGCAGCTCTTTCCCGTACACCAAGTTGGTTTTGGCGACTGGCGGAACACCAAAATCCCTTCCACTCCCAGGATTTAAGGATCTCAGCAACATTTTCTTACTCCGGACTGTCCCTCATGTGAAGGCTATCCTAGGTGCCATTGGAGACAAGCACAAAAAGATTGTGATTATCGGAAGCTCTTTCATTGGAATGGAAGTTGCAAATGCTATTGCCAAAGACAACGACGTTACTGTTGTTGGTATGGAAAAAGCTCCATTAGAGCGTGTCATGGGCGAAGAAGTGGGCAAAATCTTTCAAAAATCATTAGAGAAGAACGGCGTCAAATTCAGGCTCAACGCTGGCGTGGAGAAGGCTGTTGCATCCAAATCCGACCCATCTAAGGTTGGGGCAATCGAACTTAAGGGTGGCGAAAGCCTCCCTGCTGATTTAGTTATCCTCGGAACTGGCGTGGGGCCTGCGACATTATTCTTGAAGGAAAACAAAGCAGTTGAGCTCCAAAAAGACGGATCTCTCAAGACGAACGAGCACTTCGCGGTCTCCGGTCTGAAGGACGTTTACGCAATCGGAGATATTGCAACATATCCGTATCACGGACCAGGTGGCGATGGAGCGCTCACCCGCATCGAGCACTGGAACGTGGCCCAAAATGCCGGCCGCTCAGTGGCAGCAAACATCATCGATCCTTCCGCCGCCCCCAAACCTTTCATTCCTATTTTCTGGTCAGCGCTCGGCGCACAGCTCCGCTACTGCGGAAATACGCCCAATGGCTGGGATGATCTGGTTCTGAAGGGCCAGCCTGAAGAAGCGAAGTTTGTCGCTTATTACACTAAAGGGGACACTGTTGTGGCGGTTGCGACGATGCAAGTTGATCCGGTGATGGTGCAGGCGAGTGAGTTGATGCGGAGTGGGAAAATGCCGAGTAAGAGTGAAATTGAGAAGGGTGTGGATATTTTGACGATTAGTTGAGCATTGAGACCCTCTCTGTAGTAGTACGGAGAGGAATTGGCGTATTTCAGTAACGAGCACAAATACGACTTGAAGAATGCATTCTTGCCATCTTTTCAGCAATATTTAATGAGTCTAGAAGTCGTCTCAGTACGCGGATTTAAGATAAAAATCTCTCAAGTTCCCTTTGCTGAACTTCTTCCCTTTCGTACTTAGTAAAGGAAGGCACAGCCCCTATCTTAAGCGAGATCCCTCCTTCCTCCACGGAACACAAAACTCACCACCCCGTTTATGTACCAAAATAAGCTATCTCTGCCAAATCAATTCCAACGGGGACGTAGCTCAACGGAAGAGCACACAGGAAACATCAGGCATTTTTTAGGTACTTTTGGCTCAGCAATAGAGCTTCGATGTCAGAGAGAGAACAGCGAATAGTGAAACATCATTTTTGCACCCAAAGCTTAAGCGAGGCCTCGACACACTCACCTTAACCTTCACAGACTCTAACTATAGAGCAAAATAAGGTTTTCTAGGTAAATTGACTTAGACCGGGGATGTAGCTCAGTGGTAGAGCGCACGGTACATGTCAGACGCCAACTCGTCCCCTTTGCTTCGGCATCGAGGGGGGAGGGAGGGTACGTGAGTACTGGTGTATGGTTTGCGAACTACCGTGAGGTCGCTGGTTCGAGTCCAGCCGTCTCCATCATTCGTTTTCTCTTTTTGGAGCTCTAATCTCTGGATTAATTTGTAGTAAGTGTTGATAAAAAGAATATTGAAGAAGAGTTTAGAGGGATAAAGTAACGTCTCGCGTGTGAAAGAGGCTGATTCGTGGGTTGTGGAAAGGGGTTTGTTTACCATTTGCACTTCGAAACCACCTAGAATGCATACCTAAGTGAACACTCAGCTCGGCTATAGAATCTCACGTGCTTTTGTTGCACATCTAAAAAGCCTACAACACCATCGCTTATTGATGTGAAAACCACCGAAACCTCGCTAAGTGACAAGGAAGCCAATCACGTGATATTGAACTTTTTGGCATTGTTTTCGTGTATTCATCGTGCAGATTGTGAAGCCTTGATGTCTTGACTCATGAATCATTTACTAAAATATTCCATCTAATGTGCTATCCAGCCTGCGCTCCAGTAGCATTGGACCGCCGTAGTATCACCCCTCTTAGGTAGTCTCGTACCTTAGCCGAAATAGACCACCATCTCTCTAGCAGCCTCCGCTCCAACAACAGCCACCAATTCAGCAATGATCCCCTTTATAGAGCGCGTGCTTCCGATATCACTCGTGTCCCAACTCACGAGGTCCCCAGTTTCTGCTTCCATGTCTCGAACGCGTATTTTAATATGGTCGAGGTCGATCTCTGTCAACAACTGCTCTTTTGTGAGGAGCCCTGGCATGGATCTTTCAAAGACTGGCCTTTCTGGCTCTGTGATTGGACCGTCTTCTTCTTCAGATTGTTCGTCGGTGTCGTCAGTGTCTTCCATATCCACAGGGTCGTTCGCTTGATTTGAAGGCGATGTAGGATGCAAGGAAGCTGCGGCAGAAGATACTAGTTAAAAGAGGTCAGAAGTATGTAATCTGAGAGGTATTTTGAACATGAGAGATTGAATAGAAGCTATGTGGAAGGTATCAAGTCAAATGAAATGTACCATGGAGGACCACAGTTTGTCAGGATGCCAACAACCAGAAGTCCCAGTTGACGCAAGCGTTTTCCATCGGATCTTGTTTCATTGCAATCAGAGCCGCAAAGAACCCTATGTTGACATATTAGAGCAGTATGAAGGATCGTGCGTCTTTCGCTCGGTTCTCGTGCTGATGTCCGAACTTGGAAGTCATACTTGATCAAACATACTGCTCTACAAACTGTTGCCGAGGTTGAAATTGATGAGACAACAGAACGTTGTCGAAAACAACTTCGTTAGAAGCAACATTGGCTGATGTTACACCCTTCAAGAAACGTATCCTACACAAGTAGATTCGCTCTATTTTTTAATCGCGAAGAGACGTGGGACATAATGTATAGAAGGTACCTTGGAGTCTTACCTGCTTGTTCAAGTGAAAGGCTCACGAACTTCCTGTTATCCAGCCTCTTCTTCATCTCGTCGTCAAGCAGATCCCAATTGTAGGATGAAGGATCTAACATGTATTGAGGTGTATAGTCTCCTTTGTATCTCATTTTGGCACAGCTGTGGATGTAGAACCCTGCGTACCACCACTGGTACCCCTCTTCTTTCGCTAAGGCGATCTCCCTTAACGCACCGAGCTTTCCAAAGCCATGTTGGTGGACGGATTCGTGATACATAAAGTATACAGCACTAACGCATTGCGGAAGGAGGTCAAGCACGCCGATGGCAACTAGTTTGCCGTCGATTCGGTAACATTGATGGTACGATCCCAATCGGCGTTCCCGACCATTGTAAGTGTTCGTTGTACGAGGAAGAGGAGATTTGCAAAGAAAGTTTTTGAAACCTGACTTCGATATCCGGTGCGGGGGTTCTTGATGAACCAAGCGCTGGTAATTCTCGAACAGAAGGTATTTCTCTTCCGTGAAATTATCTGGCTCGAGCGTGACACTCAGAGCCTTTGCAGGCTCGGGTGGGGTTTTCAGAAACGCTCTTTCGCCTTCGTGAACTCGTTCCACTAAGTCGAAGTCGGTGTTACGCTTCTTGGCTTGCTCGCGTGACCTAGGGTAAAGCCTCGCGGTGTCTTTGATGTAAGAGTCGCCAAGGATATGCTTGTTGAACCGATTTAGAGCCTGCCGTTGATCTTTCGAAGCATGGAAAAGCTCGGAATCGAGACGAATTGTGTACTGAGTGCAACATGATGCCTGCTGATCAGGCTTGTAGAGCAAGCTTCCTGATCTTCTCCAGCCGCGATTGAGCAGACATTGGTAGAATTCAGCGGTCAATGAAGTTGTCGATGCGTAATATGAAAAGCCTAAGCAACAAAAAGTAAATATCGGCCAGAAAGTGGGACATAGGAAAGTCTGAGAAGCTGCAGAGAAACGAATTAGGGGGGAAAGTAGATGCAAAAGAGGACAACCCGCAACCGACGTGAGACCTGTTGACAAACGATATGGAAGATTTACGTTTCTGTGACCTACTTCCAGATTTGTTATGACAATAGCCGCAACTGTTGTTGCTGTAGCCTGTAGACCAGTCAGCAGTTATATCCCGTCATCAGGATGAGTAAAGCGCAGCAGATGCGAGCAGTGCGGGGTCGGCCGACTTCGATAGCAATACAGCACCGAGACTGAACGGGGCAGCTAAGCAGCTTTGCGACGCCCAAGGAGAGTGGGGGTTGGTGAAGGCAGAGGCATTCCGATGCCAGACTGTGTAGATTGAACGTCGTCGAAGCAATCAAACACGTTCCTCGCAGCACGGAAAACTATTGGAGAATGGCTCTGGTTTTAGGGTTTGTGTACTTGCCAATAGGGCTCAAGAGCGAGTTGGGCTTGTCCGGGGTCTGCATCCCGCAAGGCAGTGGGCTCGAGTGGGCAGTTGGCACCCGCCGACGCTGACAATTGAGGCCTGGTGGGCGGCTGCTTCGGTTGGGGGGGCAAGAGACGGTCCGGCGACGGCGGTGGAGGGGCGAGCCTCTGCGAGGTACGCGGTGAGGGAGGCGGCGAAGATATAAGAGCCCGTGCAGTCAACGAGCGGGCGCAAGTGTGTTGGAGAAGGGAGGTAGAAGAGGCTGCAGCAGGCGTCCGCAGCGGGTGTATCGATGTCTGCAGGGCCGGGCCAGGCAAAGGCAAGATGCAGCTGCAGGCGTGGCAGGCGCGAGGGCGAGGTCAGCCTGTCCTGCAGCAGTTGCTGTTGGGCTCCAAACAGCGCGCTGTGCTGTCAGGCGATGGAGCCTGCAGTCAGTGGATTGTCGTTGTTGTCGTTGCGGTGCTGCTGCGCGCTCTGCGCGCTGCTTGACTTGCGAGTGAGAGTAGTGGGGGTGTTGCTGCATGTGAACCTCGTCTTGCACTTCTCTTGCCTCTTTGCCTCTTGTCCTATTCGACTGCCAGCCATGCCATGGGGACGGGACCAACGCCGAGCAAAAGCCTGCACCGCCAATGGCCCTTAGGGCTAGCGGTTCCTGCTGAGTTACTACTCACTGACATTGTCAAAGCTGCTTTTCTGGCTGCGTAACGGCACGAGACCGTCGAAGGAAATAAATTTTGCTCCGGACGAAGCTAGAGCAACGCTTCCACCCCCATCAGCTCCCCCTTCCCACGGGCACACCACCTCCCCAACTCTGCTCTGCCTGCCTGGCTGCTCTCCACCAAAGGTCCGCCTCATCAGTCTCAAAGTTTTTTTGCTTCTGTTTCCCCCATCCCCTGACATCATTTTAGTCGACCCAGCAAAGACCCTCGCTCAGTCACCCCACAAATTCAACCATGCCCGAGCTTTAAAGCCTGCAACGCCTCTCTGACCTTCTCGGAAGAGGAGCAAATCCCCTCGGACGTCTTCGTCACCGAGGTGAAGCACTGTCTTCATTATGTCGTCGTCAAGCCGGTCAATGGAGTCTCGCACGGGTCGCTCTAAGCAACGTAAGTTGAGAATCTCCAATTCGTTGAGGCTACCGCTGGTCTAGACCTCTCTTATACATCTGAGCACGAACCTCAAGCTGACCCTCTTTTAGGATACAACGATTCTGGGGATAGACTTGTTGCGGGTGTAGTACCTTTGAACGAAGCCAAAACCCACGTCCTTCTGATCCAGTCCACTCGAAGACACGGCTGGGTCCTCCCAAAGGGCGGATGGGAGTCTGATGAGAGCTGCACGGAGGCTGCACAGCGCGAGGCATGGGAAGAGGCTGGGATTGTCTGCAATATCGACTACGATCTCGGTACAATCAGAGATACTCGTGCTCCGAAGCACATGTCGAAAGATGCACCCAAATCTCTCTACCAGTTCTACGAAGCCACGGTTACAAGGGAGGAGACAGACTGGCCGGAGAAACATAAGAGGATTCGACAGTGGGCAAACTTTGCGGAAGCTTCAGAAGCTCTCAAGCACCGTCCGGAACTTGTCGAAGCTCTCAAACGGTCCACTATTCAGAAATAGCCTTGCGGGCCCGGCGTTCTATCCATCCATTCCGCAGTCGCAGCGCAACAGCACCTGTCGTACAGGCTAAGGTTGCCTCCTTCTCGATGGATCGAGAGCTATAGGATGTCGGGGTCCGAAAACAGCACAGGTTGCAAAATTCGCGGTGAATTTCCTCGGTCTCTCCAGTTTCAGTTCGTCGTCACAAGGAGCGTAGCTTCGCAGGCTGGGTGGTTTCCTTTGGCAAACATCATCGTTGATCTTTTCCCCTGCACTAGAAGACAATCAAGTCGGATTATGCCGTACTTATTCTATTCCGTGGCCAACTTCATTGATCCGGCACTGACAGACTGTGGCGATTTGGTTTACACCCACAAGCACCAACCAAAATGCTGAGCATTACTAGAGGGGTTTTGGCATTTCACAGGCTTTTGCATTTCATCTGGAGTTTTGAGACAGGGGCATAAAATGGGCATGCATAGCAAGGGGAGGTTTTCTGTTGGCGTAAATCGAAGCATAAAAAAGGAGCTGTAAACGCAAGAGCGGCTTGCTCTATATCTGTCTTCATGAGGAGATGGTCCTTGAGGATGAGATATTCACTCAAGCCGCTGAATAATCAAAAGTCAAATGCATTGCGTTTTATTGCAGTTCCCCGTGTTGT